TAGGGCACAAATGTGCGCACGCCGGGCAAACATGCGTGCACGGTAGACTACGACTAAGACTGACTATGTGAGTCAGACTACGACTCGACTGAATCGACTAAGACCACAACACGAAGACTATGAGAGACTAAGACACAGACTCAGACTAAAAGACTTTGAAACTCTGAGACTAAGCCGCTAAGCCACTAAGTCTAAAGTCTAAATCTTGTAATAATATTCTGACTCAATCTCGAAGTAGACTAAGCCGGCACACTTAGACTTCGGCACTTAGACTAAGACTAAGACTTAGACTAAGACTTAGACTTGACTCAGCCTCAGACTATGACTCATGACTATGACTATGACTATGACTATGACTCTGACTCTATGACTCTATGACTCTATGACTCGGACTCATACTGTGGTTTGGACTCAGACTATGACTGTGACGAGTCATAGTCTATGACTAAGACTCTATGACTCCATGACTCTGACTAAAGCTAAAGGCTCTAAGACTCAAACACTAAATTCACTAAATGACACGATGCCGCGACGCCTGTAGGACCTGGCCTCAACTCAACTGAACACTGAACTCACTGAACACCTCAAACGCAGAGCACGAGCCACGCTTCCTTTTCACAGCCGCGGGTCTAGCTCGACACACGTGCAGGTTGGCAAACCTCGAAGACAAGCTCTGCTATTGAGACTCCCGCATGCACTTAGCCTAACCCTTGTAACTTAACTTAACTTATTGATGATTATTATTAACTAAACTAAACTAAACGTACGTAAATCTAGGACCTTTAGGGCTCAGGACTCAGGACTTAGGATTCCTTATAGGACTTGACTTGACTTAACTGACTTAACTTAAAATTCTTAAGATCTTAAATCTTAAGATTAAGACTGGTTAATAATTAGTTTATGAAGAAATAATAGAAAATAAGACACATTAAGAATTAAGACTTAAGACTAAAAAACTCAGACTCTTACTTAAGAGTCTTAAGACTTAAGACGATTTGAATGACTGAATGACTTAAGTGATTTAAGTTAAAGTCAACGGTCAAAGTTAAAGTTAAAGTCA